TGGATGTCTTTTTATTTCTTGACTGAACGGAGAATTTTTTTATTAAAAATAAAATAAATCAATAGATAGCGTGTAAGAATTCGACACAAGTGGTGCGTAGCACTGTTAATTTGACATAATTATAACTCTTAAATATTAGTGAATTATATGTGAGACATAATTATATTTTTGAGACTGTAAAAATGAGGTGGTAAAGAAAAATAATAATGTTATGTGAGCAATACTACATCTACATTAAAATGTTACTAAATGTATTTGTGTCCAAATATCATTAGAAATTTAAATATATATTGTGGGGCTGAGTATTGGGAGTCGTAGAGATTCCGGATAGTCGGACCTAAGAGAGTCGAAATTCGTGGCACTCGGCATCGGCTCGCAAGCTCGAATCCAACTTTACTCGGCCAAATAGCCGATTAAGTAAGGGGCCGAGTAAAGAGCGGTCTACTACAAAATGTGCCGAATATAGAGTTGGAAATGGACCTAATCCCGAGGCCCATGGAAGAAAAGATATAAATAGAAGAACATCAGCCAGAAAGAGGCAGGTAAAAATTGTTGTGCTTAACTTAGAATACAAGCATTTTTTAGTGTAGAGACTGACTTGTCCGTCGGAGTGCTAATTCCACACCCTCAACCGGAGTGTTTATTACTTTTTAGGTGACTATTAGCGGATCACGAGCGTCCCCCAAGATCAGAAGAATATTTCCAAACCACTTCTCCACATATATGTATATATATATATATATATATTACAACCAATTACATTTGACCATTTGTATTTTTAGTATGCATAGAATTATTTATGTTATATTTATTATCTTTTCATATTACATTTTAAATACTATTTTATGTAGTACAATCACCGATATTAGATATTGGATTGTTTTGAAAAATGGGTTAAAAGTTGATTTTTTTGATTTTTTTTTAACGAACGTATAAAAAAAAATAAAGAAGAGATGTGACTAAAAAAATTAAAAAGTTAAAAAATTAACTTTTAACCAGATTCTCAAAACGGGGTCATCAATAATGTTCATGTGGGACTCTATATATTAATGATTATGATAATATTTAAAATATGATACAAAAAAAATTACAAATATTAGATTATGTAATCTTAATCGGACATTGTGGGGAAGCAATGAAACATTTTTTAATTGTAATTGATTCTTTTAACTTTATTTTTTTTTTTATAAGTGGGGTGATTCTTTAAACTTTAAAATATGATTTTCTGTGGTCTTTTCAAATCCATAGAAAATCTAATTACATGACGGAGAATTCTATCATAATCAGCCGTTGTAGGGAATGAATGAAACATTTTTGGATCGCAATTGATTCTTTCATTTTTTATTTTTTTATTTTTTTTCTTTATAGATGGGATGATTCTTGAAGCTTTAAAATATGATTTCCTATGGTCTTTTTAAATACATATAAAATCTAATTACATGATGGAGAATTCCATCCTACACACTTTTTATCATATAGAGTGCTTGTTTTGAGGAATTATTTCATAAGATTAGATTTAGGGGTGCAACTCGGGCAGGTTCGGTCGGGTTTGGAGGTTATCCAAACCCACTCCAAGTTGTGCTGAGACTTGCTTAAGCTCGCCCAAGCCCGAATTGTAACCCGAGGTTGTCTGCCCAAGCCCGACCTGAGCTAAACCTGAATTGCCCGAGTTGCCCGAATTGTAAATGAATTTCAGTTTTTTTTTTTTTTTTAGAAAATCATTAATACCATCAAAACAAATAATTTATATAATGTAAGAGAAATGCCACTATAGTAGTCCTTACAATTTATAAAAAGAAAAAAAATAAGATTTTATGTTATTTGTATATATAATATATATTCAATATGATTTAATAATATAAATTTTTTAATATCATGTAATGACTAATAATTTATATTTATATTTAATATTTTTATATATCTATATATGTATAATTCGGGCTTCGGGTTGCTCGGATTGTTTGACATCTTTGCCCAAACCCGCTCAAATTTAATTCAGACTTCTGAATTTTTATCCAAACCTGTATCGAATTTGAAAATATTTTGTCCAAGCCTTAAAAAATTTCGGGCTGGGCTCGGGCTGCTCGGGTTGAACCCGCCCAAGTTGCAAACCTAATTAGACTATTAACTAATAGTCTATTGTTTGGTTCGATTTTTTGCTCCGGATTAATAGTTCCTCTTAACTATTAGTCCCTCATATGAGGGATTATTATATCCTATGAGGAGGTGGGATTATTTCTATAGGATTGGTATCTCATGGGATTAATTTATGAAATGTCTATTTTACCCTCATACTATTACTTAATAAACAATTGGAAAAAAGTAAAATAGTCTTTTGAATATTTATAAATTATTTTTTTAGTGTTGTCAATTTAAAATTATATATTAAATAAAAAAATATAAATTATAAATTTGATTTAATTCAAAATAATAAATTAAAAATTATGGCCTCATAATTTTTTTAGTGTTGTTAAAAAATTAAATTTATATATTAAATAAAATTTCCAACCAAACATTAGATTCACTAAAACTAGTCATTTCTAGACATCTAATCCCATGAGAAAACAAATACGGCATACACATCCAATCCAATCAAATAGTCCAGGGGATTCATAAAAAATATATATTAATAATAAAAAATATAAATTATAAATTTAATTTAATTATAAATTATAAATTAAAAATTATGGCCTTATAAATTAAAAAAATTTAGTGTTGTTAAATTATAAATTATAACTTACAAATTATAAATTATAAATTACAAATTTAAAATTATATATTAAATAAAAATTATAAATTACAATAATAAAATAGTCTTTTGAACATTTATCATTATTCAATCCGTCCAACCAAACGTTAGATTCATTAAAAATAGTTCAATAGAGACATCTAATCTCATGACTAAACAAACATAAGATACAAATCCAATCCAACCAAATAGTCTGGGGACAATGTATCCTAGGACTAACAATCCGATGGATTACAATTCTCTCTTATCCAGTCCGTCCAAACAAACACATCCTACATTTTTAATTATGTTATTTTTTTTAGTTATGATCAATTTTTTTCTTTAGTTATGATAATATTTTGAGATATTTGGTTATGTCTCATTAGTGTTTGATATGATTATTTTATTTTTATTTTTTTAGTTATGACTCAGAAAGTATGGGATAATACAATCTTCTTCTTTAATTATAAGGTGCATATGATACATACAGAGATAAAATTAGAAGAAGACTATAGGAGGCCATAGCTCCCCTGCTTGTGTGTACAATACTATTTGCCATAGTACTTTAAAAAAAATATATCTCTCATTTTATACATAAAAGGGCTCCCAACATAAAAAAATAAAATAGATTCTTTTTCCATCTTGCATTTTCATTTTGTTTTGCACCCAAAAAAAAATAAAAAAATAAAAAACTGTTTGATTATATTAGAGATTTTTTTCATGGTGTTTGATTTATTTTTATTTTTTTCTGTGTATTTGTATAATTTATATATCATATTGTATATATACATGTGTGTTTGTATATATAGTAAAAAAATGTATTCGTCTTTTGACCCTTCGGTAATGAAATCCTAGTTCTGTTACACACGCTTTAAAGAATGTGTACCATAATCTTTTCTTTAGATGACAAGTAACAGTGAAATAACTGTAAATAACAATCAATCTCAAGTTTAATTCTATCCGCATGTTATCAAAATATGTGAATGAAACATAAGTTTTAATTGGTTTAAAATGTTAGAACTTATAATTTTAAGTGAGATTAATATTTTTTAAATAGAAAACTTTTAATTTTAAATCAACCAAATTTTAGATATGTGTTTTGTATTGGAGTAATACTACTCATAATTCATGTTCCAATATTTGTTCAGTTGTTACTTAAAAATTAGCGTAAAAGCAATGAATTTTATTGTTCAAATGATAAAAATTTCGAGGCCACACATGGATCATGCTAGTATTTTTATTAAAAAAAATTATTTTTACATTGTTCAATCAAATCATCATCAGACAATTAATTTTGTGGGTCTAAATTTTGGAATAAGATGATCATTTTTTCATATGATTAATTTTATTGTTCACCTTTTTATGCTTCGTTTGTAAAGCTAAAAGTTAAATTTTTTTTGACTAAAATAGTCACAAAAAATAAAATAGGCTTTATAATTATAAAAAATAAAATATCACATCTAACTCATAATTATTACATTATTTCTCTCACAAAAAAATTTAAAAAGTCAAGAAAGTGAAAAGTCCTTTCCAAACAAGATTTTTTAATTCCTGACTAAAATAATCAAAAAAATTCAAAATTCAAAAAGTCAACTCACACCCTAAATGAACAGTATATTTTTATAATGTTTATGATAATGAAAGCATATTTATTCCACTAATTATTAGTTGCGTCTTTGTTACCTCTGGCACCCACTTGTCAACGAAAACTTTACCAATGATACTATTATAGTCTGGTTTGGTAATGTTTATGAATTAATTTATTTGGTTACAATAAAAGGTTTATTAATGATATTTGATTGTAATTGTAAATTATAATTTTTTATTTATTTTCAGTTTGTGACCCAAAAAAAAAGCGAGATTTTTTATTTATTCATAATTAAATAAAGAATATTACTCATAAAAAGGCTATTTATGTTCGATTGTCACTTTTTCACATAAAAGAAAATTGTAAAAATGTATCTTAGAATAAAAATATCATTTTCTAATCATTAAAAACTCCAAGTTAATCATCACACTTTAGAAAATGTTAAGAAAATTGTTAAGTCTCACTTCATTTATATACATTTAAAAATTAGTTTTTAATTTGCAAAATTATAAGTAAATTATTCAAATAAAAAGCAAGAAAACAATGCTTAAAGTATATTTAAAAAAAAAAAAATTACAAACAAACATGGAGGGATTGTCAGAAAAAACATCTCCAAAATGAGTCTGGATCTTCTGCCATACTATCCTGCCGTGGTCCCTGCCGTGGTCAAAAACAACGTCGTTTTTTACCATTTTTTTTTTTTTCTCGCGTTTCTTTTATGTTGCTTCAGAACTCAAAGAGAACCCTAGTGTTGCTTTAGAACTCAAACGGATTGAGAGTAGAGGCCAAACGACGAGGAGAGGAGAGGAGAGGCAGCGGTGAGGCGAGGGGAAACGACGACGAAACGACGGCGACGAGGTCCGTTCGTCTTCAGGATCATTTTTCTCAGGTCCGTTCGTTATTTTGATTTATGTTGGAATTCCTCATTTTTTCCCAAACAAATTTGATGTTAAAGCACAAAAATTTTCCCAAAAAAATGAGGAATGAAATTTTCCTCATTTTTCTCAGGTCCGTTCGTTATTTTGATTTATGTTGGAATGCCTCATTTTTTCCCAAACAAATTTGATGTTAAAGCATGCCGAATATAACAATTTTTTTGCCGATAGATGCTTTTGATTTATGTTGAGTTTGATGGATTTGTTGTTGAAACAGATGTGTTATTTCTGTTGAATTTTTGAAAATTTTTGTTGATTTGGTGTTACAGATGTGTTATTTGTGTTAATCTGTTCAAGATTAGGAACACCTTTGTTAATCTGTTAATCTGTTAATCTGTTGATCTGTTCAATTGGAATAATGACATTAATCTGGGTATAGTATAGTCTCATCATGCTCACCATTTGACTGCTGAATTGTTGATTTGGTGTTACAGATGTGTTATTTGTGTTAATCTGTTCAAGATTAGGAACACCTTTCTTAATCTGTTAATCTGTTAATCTGTTCAATTGGAATACTGACATTAATCTGGGTATAGTCTCATCATGCTCACCATTTGACTGCTGAATAATGAGAGATGGTGAGATCCATTTGACTGCTGAATAATGTGAGATGGTGAGATGTGGAATATATTGTGTAATCTGGGATCTCATCATGCTCCTTTCATTTTTTGTTCATTTTTTGTTAATCTGGAATATATTGTGTTAATCTGGGATCTCACCAAATTGAGCATCACTTGATTTTGTTCAATGTTTGAGACTGCTAAATATATTGTGTTGGCCATGAACAGGCACTGTAGGGTTGGCCATGAACACCTTTCATTTTGTTCACCTTGATTTTGTTCAACTCTAGTGATTCCAAGAAGGTCCACCATTGTAAGATTAGGAACACCTATTTTGTTTGACACAGGCAACTGCCCTGTTTATTCATGTTTTCAATAACCATTGTCATGTTTTCTTCTTTTTTTTTGACAAACTATTTTTTACATGCATTGCCATTTGATGGGACTTAAGGCTTCGTTTGGTTTGGTTTGGTATTGCCATTATAGATCAGAGATGCAATCCAAGTCCGGCTGTCAAACAATCGAGTCATGTACTGGTCTATATTGGTCCAATATTGATCAAACAGTCCTGCTGTCAAACAGTACTTCTCCAAAGAAATTATTTGATCTATATTGGTCCAGACCAAATTCAGGACTCATTCTGTTGCCATATAAAAGGGAAAAAGTTTGATTCATGTCTCTCAAAATGATAGCATACTACCATATGAACTGTATTATCATAGCACAGTTCCTCTATCTCACATGCATCTTTGTATGTGACCTTTTTATGATTGGATTTCTTTTGTAGTTACTACCACTTCATTTGATTAATTTTCGCTTGTAGTTTGCAGCTTCTATGCTTCATCTAGGTATATCTCTTGCCCTCATATTATTTGTTTCTTGATTTTTTAAATGAAGTTTAATTTTAAATGGATGATTCATACTCGTTTAGGGAATTATTACATTATAATTTCATGGCTAGTCTTGTTAATTTACAATGAAAGTGAGTTTGGATGTAAACACATATACCAAAATCCATGTTCAAGGTTTATAGAAAAATTTGCTTGAAATCATTCACAGATAGCATACAGTAGTGCATGCATACTAAAGATTGATCTAGCTATTTCATTAACTTCTGAAATCTAGCAGCTTAATAATTGTAAGTAGTATAAGATTGGGTAAATACCTAGTTGGTTTCAACTTCTCAATTGCAATTGCTATTCTTATATACTTTAGTAGGCAATTTAGGTTCATGTCATGCAATTTCCATTTTACTAATACATCATGAACTATGTATATGATCTAGGAATAAACATGAACTATGTATATGACTAGGATGAACATGAACATGAAAATAAAATTAAGAATTAACATGAACATGAAAATGACAATGTTTATTTTACATATTTGTTTGAATGTTGTCTTAATGGACTGATTGTAATTGTGGAAAATGCTCTTACTAGGATCATGTCAATGTCAATGGGTTCAAACATTGATACTGGATATTTGAAAAATCAGAGATGCAATTGTGGAAAAAAAGCTGCAGTGTTCATATCAGAATCAGAGAAAAATCCAGGGAGGCTGTATTTCAAGTGTGCAACTAGGATGTACGAGTACTTTGGATGGGGACCGGCTTCGACTGGGAATGCATCAGATATCCAAAGGAAAAGTAAAGCTACTTATCTGAAGAATGAAGATGAGAGAGGCTATGATTATGATGTTGACAAACTCAATCAAATTATAAATAGATTGGAACGAGTTGAAGCAAACCAAGAAGCTATGAAACTGTTTATGTTCACAGCCATTGTGTTGATTGGTTTTACCATGCTAATAGCACTACTGAAGTGAATGTAACCTTTTAGTGATGCGCTTAACCTTTTTTTGGTGGATGTATTTGGGTAACCTTAGTGAATGTAACCTTTTTTTTTTTGGTGGATGTATGTGGGTTTTGAATGTTGTAGACCTGAAACTATGAATGTTGATATGTAAAGCTTAATGGAATTACCTATGTTTGACGAATGTGATGCATCCTTAAACTATGAATGTTGATATGTAAAGCTTAATGGAATTACCTATGTTTGACGAATGTGATGCGTTTCTGGACAGATCTCATTATTTTATAACGTTGTGGACAGATAGATCTCATTATTTTATAACGTTGTGGACAGATTTCATTATTGTATATTCTTATTATTGGTCAGGTCGTACTTGTTCTTCACCAAATCTGTCCACAACATAACCAAATCTGTCCACAACATAAGACAACCAAATCTGTCCACAACATAACCAAATCTGTCCAAAGCATTATAAATATATCCAAATCTGTCCAGAATCCAAATCTGTGCAGACAACACAAAATAACACAAACCAAAACCAAATCTGTCCAAAAAAAAAAATGGTCCAAATCTGTCCAGATCATTCCAAATCTGTCCAGAACATGATAAACCTTTGCAACACAAAATAACACAACCAAATTTGTCCAACATTCATGAGACCAAATCTGTCCAAAACTGTCCACAACATTACAAACCTGTGCAACACAAAATAAGACAACCAAAACTGTCCAAATCTGTCCAGATTATTCGACACATGTCTAGAACAGTATAAACTTGTGCAACACAAAATAACACAACCAAATCTATCCAACATTCATGACACCAAATCTGTCCAAAATAAAAGCAAACTATCCATAGGATGTCCATATCATTCCAAATTTGTCAACAACATTATAAACCTGTGCACCACAAAATAACACAACCAAATCTGTCCAACATTCATGAGACCAAATCTGTCCAAAATAAAAGAAAACTGTCTAAATTTGTCCAGATCATTATAAATCTGTCCAACACAAAATACATCTGTCCAAAACAAATAAAGATAAAATAAACTTCTCAGGGATGTCCATCTACATGACTGTCAGCAAGACTATGTGACGCTTGCGAGAGATGGACTGCAAAGTTTTCAACACTTGTACCTCGAAGCAACCCCTGAAAAGATCTGTGAGTGGGATACACAGAAGGCATTGACTGAGGCGTGTTATTTCCCTGCAATACACCAAACCATGTATTCAACTTCGATTACAATGTATACTACATTTTAAATGTAAACTATGTCACTAATTATAACTCACATCATATGTACCATACGTAAGAGGAGGACCACTTGTACCACCCATAAGAACTTGAGGTCGAGGTTGAGATGGAGAAATGTAGATATCATGACGATGATCCTAAATTAATACCCATGACGAAAAACAAAAAAAAAAGAAACAAATATTTTAAATTAATAACCAAAATTTTTTAAAAACTAAAGAAACATCATTGAACATTAATATTACCTTATTATAATTAATACCCATGACGAAACGAGGTTGTGATTGAGAAAAATTTACACCAAGACCATGATCCTAAATACAACCAATAGAAACTATGTAAACAAAATATTTGAATAAAAAACATGGTCATTATTTAACATTTTCTTAAAAACTTGCACATAAAAAACTATTACCTGATTAGAATTACTACCCATGATGAAACGCGATTGTGATTGACCTTGGCAAGTATAAATAGCAGCACTCGACTGCATTGCCAGACAAACCAATTAAAGATAACAAGAATTAAATGCCAAGGAACCCAACTTGGGAAGTGTAAACAGTAATAAGGTTGTGATTCACGCATGAATAAAACTACCATCCATGATTCAAAAACTAAATACCTGAATAGAATTACCACCCATGACGAAATAAGATTGCATCCTTTTCTTCTTTGCAATAGCTTTTTCCATCTCGCCTTTGATGCTCCTTCTTCCCTTAGTAGTTGACTCTCTTTTCTTCAGTCCCTTAGCTTGGATTGGACAATCTACTTCATCACTCTGTGGGCATGCGTTGCTTGACGAATTTCTCAAATCAGTTACCTCCACTTGACCACAACTGTGGAGACTTAATTTGTCTTCAACCATTACACTCAATTCTTCACCTTTTGAAACTAACAACTGATAAGTTTCTTCACTTTCAGCGGCTCTAAAACTCGGCTATTGCTCTAAACATGGTCATTAATGCGATATCGGTCACTTTGATGTAATTTTTCACATCAGCCGTCATTTCATACCCACGTCTATCTTTCACATCGTTCAGCCCTTTACTTTTTTAGTCCATCGTTTGAGTATATATTGGGGAGAAGTTCCGTGCATTGAATACATCTCTAAGCACCTTGAACAATGTCGACATAGTATGCCCTTCACTTCAAACTTCTTGCAACTACAACTCTCAAGAAACCCCCTCCATCCATTGTCACAATCTTATCTTTTTTTTCCATCTACCATTGTTTATTGTGAATATGGTGCTCTCACCATCATGATAGTGCCTATATGGATGCTTCAATGGACTGCACATACTCATTTTGGAATTCCTCAAAATTGTTTTCGTGTAAATCTCTGCCACTTGCTTTAACATCACAGTTGGAATTGAAACCCTCGGCAATTTTTGGGACAATTACCGCTTCCTCCAATTCCTTATACCTCTTCTCATAAAGCACCCTCTCAAAATGCTTGAAGAACTCCATCAAATTATGGTCACAATTCAGATAATCCTTCAGAAATGCATTAAAGGATTCACTAAGTTGAGTAGTACTCATTCCAGCTGCCCAAGAATTCCTAATATATGGCCATCCCCATTTCTCCTTCACGCGAAAAGTCTGCTCCAACCAATGATTGTCGAATGCATCATACTTATCAAGCATTTGGTCCCACTGTATTCGGAATTGTTCTTCATCATCAATGTCATGCATAAATTTTGAAAACACAGCCTTGACCCCTACATCATCAAAAACAGAACTTACATGCTTGACAGCATTTTGCATCAAATGCCACGTACAAAGACGATGGTTTGTATCGGGCATGACAATTGGAATGGCCTTAGCCATCGCAGCATCTTGATCTGTGAAAATAGTTTTCGGAGCTTTGTTTGACATTGCCTCCAAAAAAATTTGAAACAACCATGTAAAAGATTCAGCAGTCTCATCATACATCAACGCTGCACCGAATATAACTGTTTCTCGATGATGATTAAATCCAACAAATGATCCAAAAGGTCTATGCTCGTTATTTAGTTTGTAAGTAGTGTCAAATGTGACTACATCACCAAACTGAGCATAGTCCATGATCATTTGAGCATCAGCCCAAAATATATTACTTATCTGCTCATCACAATCTAATTGGACTGCATAAAAAAAAGATGGATTTTCCACAGTTTTCTTACGAAAGTAATGCAACACACTACCCGCTTCCCCATATTCCAAATCTTTTTGTCTCTTCGATCTTAGGTAATTTTTTTGGTCCAATTTGGTGAAACCAAGTGATGCTCTTCCACCAGATTCCCTACCAAATAGTTCATAAGCAGACCTAAGAGGAATTCCAGACTGTGAAGCTAATTCTACTTCAATTGCTTGGGTGGTAGATATTTTTCTTTGGGAAGGCAACATATGAATGCAATCTTGAGGCACAAGATCATGATTATGATGTTCAACAAAATCACAAGCAAGATATTTTCCTGAAATTCTATCCAACTTGATACTAAATCGGGCACCACAACCACATCTTACCTCTTGTCTTGGATTTTTGACAAGTGGATCTCGTTTGTCAATACCCCGACTTCCCTCTTTGTAACATACAAACGTACGTGATGTTATCTCCTTCGTATGTTTGTTCTTGTTTGCATAGGCCTTCCTAATACTAAAACCCAACTTTCCCCCATACGTATTGTAAAAGTCATATGCGGCTTGTTCAGAGTCAAATGGCATTCCCACTTTCGGCTTCCAACCACAATCATCAACAATATTACTTTCTTCCATTACCTACAATTCATATATATAAACCACATTTATATATATAAACCACATTTACCTACAATACAAAAATCTAAATTTGAATTAACAGATTTTTCAGGAGCTAATCAGTTGCGTGCTAATTATAGAATGGATGGGGCTGGTGTAGATGACAAAACATCACTGTTTCAGAGTATGACCTTCTTTGTCAACCATGTTTTTTCTATTCATTTAAATAAGTTTGAACCTTGCCATGATAGGTAATGGTCATACTCAAGTTCCTTTGGTATTTAGTTATCTGTTGTTCTGGCATTTGAAGAAAGTATCAGCAGGTTATTTGACATAAATGGTTTTTGCGTAGTTGTTGGAGTGGACTTTTGATTGGAAGTACATGGTCAGAGGTTTGGTTCTTGATAAAAAGAGAGGCAACATATTGAAGGTAACTGTTGCTCAGTTGTCTCCCATGTACTTATTCTGTGGCTGGAACACACACAATTGCGCATGTGCGCACGCGCACGCACACACACAGCGTCTTACTGAAAACTACTAGCTGATTCTGTCATTTTCATGTAAACTTTCTTAGTTGGAAATTTTTCTCATGACTTAATTAAATACATATCAATGAATCAATGTATAACATATGAAATCAGATTCAAATCAATGAATCAATGGGTTCCTTAATCTGAATCAATGGGTTAAAAAATCAATGAGTCAATGAATCAATGGGTCAAAATCTGTATCAATGAATCAATGGGTTAAAATATATCAATATATATCAATGAATCAATGTATAACATCTAAAATCAGATTCATTGATATATATAAAATCTGAATCAATGAATCAACATATGAAATCTGATTCATTTCATATGTATAACATATAAAATCATATTCAAATCAATGAATCAATGGGTTCAAATCAATGAATCAACGGGTTCCTTAATCTGAATCAACGGGTTAAAAAATAAAAATCTGAATCAATGAATCAATATATAACATTTCAGATTTCAATGCCTAAAATCAATATAGAACCATCAATGAATCAATATATAACAGCAAGATGATGAAATATACCTCGCTGTCGCCACAATGTCGCCTTCCCACCATCGCATCGCCGCCGGACTCACCGTCGCCCACGGTCCTTTGCTCGCCATCGCGTTGCTCCTCCATCTCCGCCATCTCTTTCGTCTCTCAGCTCCTCTCTCAGTTCGCGTTAGTTCAGTCGCCTCTTTCAGTCGTCTCTCGCGATAACTCTCTCTCTTCTGCTAGGGTTCAGTCACCTCTCACGATGCCTCTATCTCTTTGCTAGGGTTCACTAACTCAGCAAAGGCTGAGAAGACGATACAGAGAAAGAGAAAAGAGGGGAAAAAGAAAAGGGGGGAAACAAGGGACTGGGTTTTTGAATTAAAAAAAAAAAGTAAATCAAATGGTCGTGGTATACAAAACGACGTCATTTTGTATACCACGGCAGGAACCACGGCAGGATAGTATGGCAGATGATCTGCACTCCTCCAAAATCTTCACGGCTGCTGCAGCTGCAGGATTTGTGTGAATGAATGTGCCATGCCATTTTGCGTAATTCAAATAAGTATCTCGGGGATAGTTTGGTCATTGCGGCTAGCAACCCAGATATTTTCAACCCACTCAAGTATTACCATACGATCGTAGAAAGGGATCACCATCAAGGTATCAGTAAAGCTCCGTTCAAACAAAAAAAACGTATCAGTAGAACTTATCATTAATAGGAATAAGTTTTAGGACTTTTCTTAAGTGTGCAACTTATATCTTACACTTACGTTTTTTTGTTTGCTGTCATATTTTATGTTTATACCTTTCATTTACACCATTTGTATTGGTTACATATGGTGTGTAACCTTAAGGGGTTACATACCATAACAGCACCCTAAGTTTTAATTGAAATACAGCGGGAAATCTCTTAAAATAGTTACCGAAAAATTTTAGTTTGCGTTTGGTAGAATTTTTTAAATATGATTTGAGAATAGAGGTGTATTTTGAGTTTTTAAATTTTTTAATTATGATTTGAGTATAGAAAATTTGTTTGGTAAATAAGTTTTGAACTGAGTGAAGAATTTTTAATGTGACAAATGATATTTGATACAAAAATTTACAACTCATAACCAAACACACAACTCAAAATTTTATTCAAAACTCATAAAAAATTTTAAAAATTTTAGAAAATATTTTTTATTAAATATATAAAAATTAATATGTGTCAATTGTAAAAAAAAAATTATGTACTGTTCTGGTCAACTGGTCGGACGTTCAGGACGACTGGTTAGTCCAAATTTTTCCCCACCTTTGACAGAGTTTTTAAAAATAAGTGTGAAATTAATTTTTAAAAATTTTAAACAAATGCCATGTGCAAAATATGAGTTAAAAATATATTTAGAGAGGCTAACTAAAGACAGACTTAATATTTCTCAAACTCCAAAAAACCAACTTAGCTCACCACTGAAGGAAGACAAACCCTTCACCAGGGCACCATTGAGATTCCCTTTTTGAGCTCTCTTTTTGCCTTTTTACTAACAATAGTAGAGATGTATTTTGAATTGTTCTAACCGTCTAAATTTAGAGAGAAAAATAAATTTAAATTTGCTTTATTATTTTTTATTTTTAAATAATTAAATTTGAACCATTGAATCAATTTAAAATATATCTCTACCGTTACAGGTAAGAAAACAAGAAAAAAGCTCAAGGAGAATATTTCTACTCGGACACCATGTGTTTGGTTTGAAATGTGGGAAAATGATTTGTCCCCCCTAAAAAAGCCCCCCCCTAATCCCCCTAATGCTCAAAACGACGTCGCCTTGGGCAAATTTTTTTTTTTTTTTTTGCCTTGGTTTGAAAATTAGGGGGATGTTGTAGCAAGGTCCTTGAAATGTGTTTGGTTTGAATTTT